TTTTAGTCACATACGGCTCTCAAAGGGTCTCCACCTCTTGTGGTTGTAAGTCAAGGACTACCTGCAGGTAAGGCTTAAGCTAGTCAACCACTCAGTGGCACAGGAGCAGGCAGCTTTGCTGGGTGTGTTTCGCATGGCTGTCTCTCTCTGGGGAGGCTCCCAAATCTTGATAACTAATTACACCCAAGATGCGTTCAGGAGTATCCTTGTCCCCAACTCTCATTCGTCTTGGATAGCCTTGGCACACCCTTGATTTTCATACCTTTACGTGCTAAATAACACGCAGGATGAAACCCAGAGAGACCTGCAAGGGAGGCCCAACCATGAAAGGAACCCACTGAATTCACTAGCAATTAAAAATCTTGATAAATTGATGATTGAGGTAGAAAAGAAACCAGGGACGAGATGCAGGTGAAGCCATACTTCAAGACATTATAAAGAGGTTGAGACTCTAGAAAGAGCGCAGCGAAGAGCAACAGAGATGATTCGGGGCCTGGAGGATACGATATACGGAGAACGGTTGCAGGAACTGGGTTTGTCTAGTTTAACGAAAAGAAGGAGTAGGGGAGACATGATAGCAGTCTTCCAATATTTGAGGGGCTCCTACAAAGAAGAGGAAGGGGTCAAGCTATTCTCCAAAGCACCTGAGGGCGGGACAAGAAGATGGAAACTCATCAAGGAGAGAAACAACTTAGAACTAAGAATAAATTTCCTGACAGTACAATTCATCAGTGGAACAGCTTGTTTTCAGAAGTTGTGAATGCTTGAAGATTTTAAGGCAACCATTTGTCTGAAATAGTATAGGGTTCCTTTCCTAAGCAGGGGTTGGACTAGAAGACCTCCAAAGTCCCTTCTGATTCTCCTGTTATTCTGTTATAAAGGCCTTTGGTAACAATGCAACTAATCCTAGGATCATATCACAGTTCCAGCAGAGGAATAAGAGGGGTGGGAGCTTAAAAACCCACCCACCTGCCTTTATTCCATCAGGAAACTTACCATTTTTAAACAGCCAATTCTCAACGGCTGCTGTACAGCGTTCTTTTGCTCTGCCCCCTCCCCTTCCTGATTCTACCTGGGAGGGGTCTCCGTCCTCCCACCAGTTCCCAGGACTTCACTATCAGAGCAAGCGATCAGATGCCAGGGGTTGTTGAGGGAAGGCCACCGTTGTTAAGCGAGCCCATTGTTTGCAATGGGCGTTTTTTGGCCGTCAACTGGAAATACAGGTAAGTCAGGTTCTTGCCTTAGGTCAAGGGTCTTCAAACTTGGCAAGTTTAAGACTGGTGGACTTCAACTCCCAGAATTCCTGAGCTAACATGACTGGAGGAGGAGGAATTGTGGGAGTTGGAAGTCCACAAGTCTTAAAGCTGTCAAGTTTGAAGACTCCTATCTTAGGTAAAGGTAAAGGTAAAGGTTTCCCTCGCACATCCGTGCTAATCGTTCCCAACTCTAGGGGGCGGTGCTCATCTCCGTCACAAAGCTGAAAAGCCACTGCTGTCCGAAGACGTCTCCGTGGTCATGTGGCGGGCATGACTAAATGCCAAAGGCATTTCCCACCAAAGGGGTCCCAATATTTCTACTTGCATTTTTTACGTACTTTCGAACTGCTAGGTTGGCAGAAGCTGGGACCAGGAACGGGAGCTCACTCCCTTACGCAGCGCTGGGGATTCGAACCGCCGAACTGCCGACCTTTCTGATCGACAAGCTCACCGTCTTAGCCACTGAGCCACCGCGTCTTGCCTTACAACCCTTTATTCAATGGTTGTTCAAAGCTGCAACGGCGCTGAAGAAAGTGGACTTACGACTGAGTTTTTCACACTTACGACCATTGCAGCATCCCTGTGATCACGTGATCAAAATTCAGACACTTGGTAACTGGCTTGGCTCATATGACGGCCGCAGTGCCCTAGGACATGTGGGGGGGGGGGTTTAACCACCTTTGGACAAGCCAAGTCTATGGTAAAGCCAGATTCCACTTAGCAACCATGCTATTAACTTTAACATCTGTGGCAAGAAAAGCCGTAAAGGGAGGCAAAACTCACTTAACGACCGTCTTGCTTAACGCTGACAGAGATTTTGGGTTCCATTTGTGGACATAAGTCGAGGAGTACCTGTCATCCGTTCTGCTTGCTGCGATTTACCGTCTCTCTCTCTCTCTCTCCTCAAATTTACTGAGCATCTTTGATTTTTGGCCCGTTTCGGCACTTCCGGTATTTCCGGAAGGCCTGTTTTTCGGCCTCCCGAGGCTGCAGAGGCTTCCCTAGAGCCTCCAGGAGGGTGAAAATGGCCTCTCCTGGGCTCCAGAGGCCCTCTGGAGGGTGAAAACGGGCACTTCCGGTATCTCCGGAAGGCCCGTTTTTCGGCCTCCCAAGGCTGCAGAGGCTCCTTTCGAGCCTCCAGGAGGGCGAAAACGGCCTCAAACGGGCCGAAAATCAGCTGGTACATGCGCAATGCACGTAATTTTGGCTGGGGTTTGCGTGCCCGCACAAATGGCTCTGCATGCATATGTCGTACAATGCCGTGAGCCCTGTGCAGATCTGTCCATTGGGGAAACTAAACAGCCACTTCACAAACCGCCTGGCCCAACCTAGGAGAACAAACCCCTCAGGACTAGATTCAACAGTCCATCTCCATTTAAGAGACAAAGGCCACTCTTTTGAAGACGGCCAAGTCCACATTTTGGACCGAGAGGTTTGAAAGAGGGGTCCAAGAGGCCATCTACGTCAAAATCGAACAGCCTTCTCAGCAGAGGGGGAGGGATACAGCACCGTCTATCTCTGGTCTACAACACCGTCTATCTCCGGTCTACAACACCGTCTATCTCCGGTCTACAACACCGTCTATCTCCGGTCTACAACACCGTCTATCTCCGGTCTACAACACCGTCCTTTCAGCAGTTCCCAGAAGGCTCCACACTCATTTGCACCACTCAGGTGACTCTAAGGATAGAAATCAACCTCCAAGTGGCCTCAACGACCCTCTAAAAAGGATGCAAATGACTAGCTTTTCTGCAAGGGGTATAAATCCTTCCGTTCCCCACTGTCCAGTCAGAGTGGAAGAAGCTCCTTGGAGGACAATCAAAATGTCTTCAAAAGAAAAAAAAAACCAAGAAAGTCCAGTTGCCTCTTGGGGAAAAAAGCACCTTTGCTCCAATTTCATTTTCATTTTCATTTCATTTTCAACCTTTAACCTGACACGCAGCTTCCATCGCTATTCCAACACCAGGAGCCAAAGTCTGGGACAGAAAGGAAGGCGGTTTTGTCATCCTTCACAACCGAAAACGTCGGCTGTTTTGATGTGTCAACGAACTTTCGGTGTGTTTACGTTGTGGTTGTTTACGTCTTCAAACCCGCGGGGAGAAAGGCCACACAAGGCCACGAATAGTGGTATCTGATTTCTCAGGTAACAAACACACCACCTAACACAACATTATCTTTCTAGGGCATTGTGTCACAGCCCTGAATTGTTTTCTTTCAATTCTGAATTGTTTCTGGTGGATTTTTTTAAAATTATTTTTATTTTTAAATGCCGGTTCCCTCAGCTTAGTAAATTTCCCGCCAAAACGCTCCCGTCCACTTCTTACCAAGGCCAGTCCATAAGCACAAGTCCTCCCCTTACGACCGCAATGGAGCCCAACCTTTCTATTGATAAGTAAGATGGAAGGGACCTTGTAGGTCATCTAGTCCAACCCCCTGCCCAAGTAGGACACCCTACACCATTTCTGACAGATGGCAGTCCAGTCTCTTCTTCAAAGCTTCCAGTGATGAAACTCCCACAACCTCTGGGGGGCAAGTCGTTCCACTGATTAGAACAACAGTGTTGGAAGGGACCTTGTTGGTCATCTAGTCCAACCCCCTGCCCAAGTAGGACACCCTACATCATTTCTGACAGAAGGCAGTCCAGTCTCTTCTTCAAAGCTTCTGGAAATCGTCTCTGGATTGAACAGGTAGCCCTCAACTTACGACCACAATTAAGCCCAAAGTTTAGGTTGATAGATGAGAAATTTGTGAAGTGAGTTTGGTCCCGTTTTATGACCTTTCTTGCCACAGTGGTTAAGTGAGTCATTGCTGTTGATAAGTTAGTCACCCGGTTGTTAAGTGAATCCAGCTTCCCCATGGATCTTGCTTATCACGTGATGATAGGGATGCTGCAACCATCATAAGTGGTCATAGGTCATGGCTTCCAGTGCCATGGTAACTCCAGCCACTAAATGAATGGTTGTACGTCAAGGACTACCTATATAGCGCGATGTCAGAATGTGCCAACTTCACAAGCAAGAGTTCCCAGGTTTATCTCAAATCAATTCTGCCTGTTTGAATCCACCCAGGTTCATTGGATGGTCTAAACTTTGATTCGTAGCCTGATCAAGAAAAGCAGGTTTGTAAACCAGGTTTAAGGCTTGCTTCACTGGGGAAAGGATATAGGGGTTTTCTCAAGAAGAGAAAGTGATCACGTCCAAATCCCAAACGGTGTTTAATTGCCGTTGACGCACCGGGGAATGGTAAGAAAGGAAAAGAAACAAAATGAAATGAAACCACAGGCAAGCTGCACAAACCACACCGAATAACAAGCACGGATATAACATGATCCCCCAGGGTGAATCACATCAGGTAAACACGTCCAATGTGTCTGTTTTATCTAAATAATGGGAGGGATCTCATGTCCTGGTCTCTTGCAAAAACAGCAGAGAGGTAGCTGATCCCAGCTGCTTGGAGAAGAAGGTTTTGTGGGTGCTTAAAGCCATGTTTTGGCAGCCGGAGAGCGATTTGGCCCCGAAAGACATTTAGTAGCGGAGGGGGGGGGGGCTAAAGGTTTATCCAAGCATCTCTCGGCCTCTGGCAGGGCTGCAACCTCTGTATTGGCAAGGAAAGATGGAGGCACACCGGCGGCTCTGCAAGACTCTCCGTGACCTGGCTCCACCCTGCTGCTGACCCCTAAACCACCTCCTCTCCCTGCCTCCAACCTTGGTGGGCTTCCTTTATTAGAAGAGATGCCTCCATCCTTGTTGATCCAGCTGCCACACATCTGTCACCCCCTGCGTGTAGCAAGGACACCGTAAACCATATCCCCCTCCCTTTTCTCTTGGTGGAAGGGAAGGTCCGCTGGGCTATAAAAAGATCCCGAGACTGCAAGGGGGAAAGATAGATAAATAGTTACATCACAAAACCTCAGGATGTTACAACACAGCCAACGACCCAGGAGATTACAGCACAAGTCCCAGGAAGTCACAACAATAGAACTCAGAAGATCATCACGCAGCCCATTACCCAGGTCGTTACAACACAGGAGGCTGATAGACACACAGCCAGTACCTCAGCCACACAGGTTCTTACAAAAAAGCCAACCAATCTGCAAACATCAACTCCATCAACCAATCAAGAAATAACAACACAGCCAACCAGCCCGCTTACAACAGAGCCAGCACACCACACCTCCCCACCAGTACTTATAGAGAGACGGCAGCTCCGATCACGCTTTGCTCGCACAAGCACGAAGCCGAAAGCACCAGCCTGAAGATGGTGAGTGGGACCTTGTTGAAACGTCACCAAGATACTCTCAATCTTACAAGGGAAAAAACCCGAACATGCCAAGATCTGGATAGATAGATGGATGGATGGATGGATGGATGGATGGATGGATGGATGGATGGATGGATAGATAGATAGATAGATAGATAGATAGATAGATAGATAGATAGATAGATAGATAGATAGAGTGTTTCCCCCAAAATAAGATCCTGTCTTATATATTTTTTTGCTACCAAAAAAAGGCACCAGATCTTATTTTCGGGGGACGTCATCCACTGACTAACCTCACTTGTGCGCACCACTCCCGGTCTCCTTTTCGCTGTCAGAGGCCTTCAGGAACTGTTTCTTCTGTGGCTGGCAAGGCTTTCCTGAAGGCCTCTGCAGCCGGTAAGAGAGTTCTGGATCGATCCGGAGCTTTGTTATGAGCTACAGAGGCCTTCAGGAAAGCCTTGCCCACCTTGCCGGCTGCAGGAGAAATGGGCCGGCAAGGCAGGTGTTGGGGTGTGCGAGGCCTGACTACAACTGTCCAAAGGTAAGTAGTAGGGCAGCTTCACCCCCCCTTCATCCCCACCCTAGCTTAATTTTTACCCATGCACTCGAATGGGCAGGATCTTAATTGGGGCTTATTTTGGGGGTAGGGTTTATATTGGGCACACGTGTAAAAATCAACTAGGAAGTGATGGTGAACCTACGGCACATGTGCCAGAAGTAGCATGCAGAGCCATTTCTGCCAGCACGTGAGAGGTCGCCTGAAAGAGCCCTACTGCGCATGCGTGGGCGCCACCCGACAGCTGATCGTCGGGTATCTGGCACACATGTGCACGCAAGGGATGCGCGGGAGACGCGCGCGCATGAGCAAGGAGCGTGGTGGGGTCATGCATGTTGCCTTCTGGGTGCTGGCACATGATCGATCCAAAGCTCTGTTATCGTCTGCAGAGGTCTTCAGGAAAGATTTGCCGGCCGCAGAAGTGGTCGTTCCTGAAGGTTTCTGACAGCGGAAAGGAGGCGGGGAGCAACACGCGCAAGTGAGGTTAGTCGGTGGATGACGTCACCCGAAAATAAGACCTGGTGCCTTTTTTTGGTGGCAAAAATATATATATATAAGACAGGGTCTTATTTTCGAGGAAACACGGTAGAGGGCATTGCATGCCAAAACAACCAGACATGGGGATAGTTTTTTTTCCCCTCGTGCCATCACTCTGCCGAATACCTGATTCTCACAACACCATCTAACACCTACGTGTATTTACCCAAGTAGTAGGACTGTATTACTATTATCCTTCGCATCTTCTCTACTACTCCCTTTTACTGGTATCATGATGATGATGATGATGATTGTTACTCTGTTGCTTTGCATGTACACAGACAGCTTCTGCACTGGGGACAAATTCCATGTGTGCCCAATCACATTGGCCAATGAATATTCTATTCCCTTACGATCAGTCCTCAACTTACAACCACCCAACATTCCTGTTGCTAAGCGAAATGTTTGTTCGGTGAGTTCGCCCTGTTCTGTGACCTTTCTTGCCCCTGTCGTTAAGTGAATCACTGTAGTTCTTAAATGAGTCCAACTGTCGTTAAGTGAATCCAGCTTCCCCCATTTGACTTGGGGATCACGTCACCCTGGGGCTTTGCGACCATCATAAATGTATGTCAGTTGCCAAGCATCTCCATTGTGATCCCACGACCATGGAGATGCTACAACGGTTGTTAAGTGTGAAAACTGGTCATAAGCAGGGTTGGGATTCAGCCAGTTCGGGCCAGTTCAGGTGAACCGGATGTTAAATTTACATCGGGTTCGCTGAACCAGTAGTTGAACTCACCAGCTGGCCCCACACACCCCGCTCTGCCCCTCCGCAGAATCTCCAAGTGGCCCATTTCGGATGCAGGTGATACAGGGTGTGTGTGTGGGGGGGGGAAAGGCTCTGGGGGGGGGGGAAACGGCCCTCCCGGAAGTTCCTGAAGTCCGGAAACAGGCCTGTTTTTGGGCTTCTGGAGGCCCTCTGGAGGCTGGGGGAAGCCGTTTCGCCCTCCCAGAGTCCCGAGGGAAGCCTCAGGACTCTGGGGAAGGCGAAAAACAGCCCTCCCAGAAGTTCCGGTAGGCCACGCCCATGCAGCAACCGAGCAGAGAACCGGTTGTTGGGATTTTTGATTGAATCCCACCTCTGGTCCTGAGTCCCTTTTTTTTCAGAGTTGTTGTAACTTTGAACGGTCACTAAACGAACTGTTCTAAGGGACTCCCTGTATTCTGCTGCTATCTGGGAAGCGCTGAAGACACGCTAAAGCAAGCTAAACATTCGTCCGTCTCACGCCCAGATTAACCTGTGGTTAATCAACTGACTCCCCGACAGAAAGTCCACAACACTTAAGATTGCCCCACCCACACCCAGGTAGATGTGTGTAAATTCCACACCTTTCAACCGGCTGCGTGCTCAGAGGAGGGGCAAGTCGTGAATGGAGGCAGCTGCTCTGATATCCATAATGGAACCTGCCCATTTCCAGTTCCAAAGGCCCTCATAACTCAAGGACTACTTGTATATACAAACAGGCAGCAAACCCCACTCCCTTCTAGCGCTGATGATGTTACCTAGTGGGGTAATGAAACATCTCCAAGAAAACAACCGAGCTCAGATAGCACAAAGGGCCCCACAATTATTTCCTCCTCCTCCTCCTCCTCCCTTTGAGCGCTGATGAGGTTACCTAGGTGGGCAATGAAACGTCTGCAAGAAAACCACCAAGCTCAGAGAGCCGCCAGGACCCCACTATCCTCCTCTTCCTCACCCACTTCACAAACCCCACTCCCTTCTGTCACCGGTGATGTTACCTGGGGAGCTAATGAAAGGTCTCCAGGAAAACAATCACGCTCAGGAATCCCCAAAAGTTCAACCACAGTTCAACCCTAAGCTACAAACTTGGTTGCCACAATATAAAAAAGAAGTTGAGACTCTCTAGAGCAGGGGTCTCCAACTCAATTTACCTGGGGGCCGCTGGAGGAGGCAGAGTCTGGGTGAGGCTGGGCCGCATAAGGGATTCCACAAAAAAACGTTGTTAAAAAAAATATATCCTCAAATGTCATTTCATAGAAGTGTTTAGCCAGCTAGCGACGCATGGAGAACGTCTCAACGCGTGACGTCATTTCCGCTTCTACTTGTCACAACAGCGCGGCGGATGACGAACAGCCCGCTAGCAGTCGCCTTTCTCTGCGTTTGATCGTGGCATTTGTTGATGGTAGAAAGTACCGGAATGGCGACCGCAAAAAAAAAGGCGACTGCTACCGGACGGTTTGTCATCCGCCACACTGTTGTTACAAGCGTAGTGTGCATGAAGCCGGTGTAGCTTAGCCTAGCACCGAATGTCAGCCACGACGAGGAACGGCGGGCGGGACTTCCTTCAGAGGTCCATTCCCCCTGCGGGCCGAACTAATATTATACTTTCATATCACGGTGGGGGCCACAGGATATCGTCCTGCGGGCCGCAATTGGCCCGCGGGCCGCGAGAATGAGACCTCTGCTCTAGAGAGTGTACAGAGAAGAGCAACAAAGAGGATTAGGGCGCATATGAAGAACGGTTGCAGTTCTTCTAGTTTAATGAAAAGAAGGACTAGGGGAGACACGATAGCAGTGTTCCAATATTTGAGGGGCTGACCCAAAGTAGAGGGGGTCAAGCTATTCTCCAAAGCACCTGAGCTACAGGGACACGAAGCAACAGATAGAAACTACAGAGGAACGATGGAGTCTGTCATCGGCACCTCTATAACTGTCTGGTTTGGTTCTGCAACCCAACAGAACAGACACAGACTCCAGAGGATAATTAGGACTGCAGAAAAAACAATTACTACCAACCTGCCTTCCATCGAGGACACGAGTCAAAAAGAGGGCTGTGAAAATATTTACAGATCCCTCACATCCCGGACACAAACTGTTTCAACTCGTACCCTCAAAACGACACCATAGAGCCCTGCACACCAGAACAACTAGACACAAGGACAGGTTTTTTCCCGAACGCCATCCCTCTGCTAAACAAATAATCCCCTCAACACTGTCCAACTAGTTACAAAGTTTGCATTACTATTACTGTTAATCTTCTCATCCCTCCTTATCACTCATCCCCTCCCACTTGTGACTGTATGACTGTAACTCTGTCGCTTGCATCCTTACGATTTATATGATTTGATTGCTTATTGTATCCTATGACTATTAAATGTTGTAATGATTCTGATGATTCCTGACTCTTGACGAATGTATCTTTTCTTTTATGGACACTGAGAACATTTGCACCAAGACAAATTCCTTGTGTGTACAATCACATTTGGCCAATAAAGATTTCTATTCTATTCTAATTCTAATTCTATTCTTATTCTACCCTGCTCTATTCTTATTGTACCCTATGGCTATTATTAAGTGTTGTACCTTGATTCTTGATTCTTAACAAATGTACCTTTTCTTTATGTACACTGAGAGCATTTGCACAAAGACAAATTCCTTGTGTGTCCAATCACACTTGGCCAATAAAAAAAGTCTATTCTATTCTCAAGGAGAGAAACAACCTAGAACTAAGGAGAAATTTCCTGACTATGAGAACAATTGATCAGAGGAATGAGTTGCCTTCAGAAGTTGTGGGTGCTTCAACACTGGAAGTTTTTAAGAAGAGATTGGACAGCTGTTTGTCTGAAATGGGGTAGGGTTGGAGGTTGGATTACAAGACCTCCAAGGTCCCTTCCAACTCTGTCCTTGTCATTCTGTTAACTCTCTTCTTCTATTAGATGCCTCTTAACTCCACCAAGAGTCGCTAAAGGCCCTCAGTCCTGAGCAACTCTCAAGCAACCACGAGGCACACTCACAGAGGGTCTCCAATGAGGCTCTTAAGAAAGCCACAGCTTCTTGCTCCAACTTGCTACAAACATTGGCAGCCCCCTGAGGGACCATCAACTCACCGTACATCTGCCGAGCCAATAAGAAGCCAGCGCTCGCCAAAGGCAGCTCCACACTCAGTTGTCCTGCGGGCGGAAAGACCCCGGTTCCATCCACGGGCATCGAAGGGCTGCCGCTGCCCTTACTTCTCCAGAGCTCCTCCTTGTTCGAGGTGGAGGCCTTCTGCAGTGGAACCACCAGTCTGGACAATGCCTCCTGCCCGCCTGGGACGGGCCTGGTTTTCAAGAACCCGAATGGACCTCCGGGCCGAGTAGAAGGGACCTCATCTTCTGCACCTGCCTCTTTTTTCTCCTCCTCCTCCTCCTCCTCTTCCTCCTCCCTCTTCCCGACACCAGGATCTCCCGGATGGGGCTGTTGCTGCCTGTTGACCAAACTGCCCTTTTTGCTGTTACGCAGGCCCTCGAAGCTCCTGAGGTCCGGTTGAATGGATTGCAAGGATCCCACCGGCGGAGCCGTGGCTGGTTTCATCCCATTCTTCACTGGGGCTTCTCTGGCGGGCGCCCGTTTTGGAGATGCCTCCAACTCGGGGTCCAAATCGTCCTGTAAGAGGTTCTCCTCCAGCTGCAGCTTCTGGGCGATGTGGTTCAGGTAGGAACGGAAGCGTCCGCTGTGGTGCTTCTGCACGAGGCGGGCGTAAGCGTTCTTGTGTGGCTTGCTAGGCGCTTCTCTCCCAGCGTAGCTCGCCGGGCTGTGGACGCACCCGTGTGGCTCCATATTCCCCAAACGTTACTGGCTGAAAAGGAGCAAATATAAAGGTACACCAGAGACAGTAGAGGTGGTCCTTGACATAGCACCACAACTGAGCCCAAAATGTATGTTGCTAAAGTGAACCGTTTGCCCCAGTGGAACAACCAGTTCTCTGCCCTAATGATTTTTTCCAACAACCAGTTCACCAAACGGCTCAGGAAGTTTAGCAACCGGTTCTCCTGAACTGGTGCGAACTGGCTGAGTCCCACTGTCAGCTTTGGAAGCCATATTGACACCAGACGCTTCCACACTGCCACATTCTTGAGCCTGGGAAAAATGGGAGGGGGGGATTTCTTAGAGTGTATGTGGTTAGACATAGTAACATTTTTTTTTCTAATTCAAGGTCATGTTATATCTGCACCTGGGTGAGGGCATATCTCAAGTTGGGACAGATGGTGATTGGTGCATGTGATGCGATGATGGGTGAAGGAGGTGGATTTGTAGTTTTTTTACTTATTGCAAGGAAAACCGGAACTTTCGGATTCAGGATCCCCCAGTTGTGCCAGTTTACTATCCAAATAAAACAGAACTTTTGAGAAGATGTCTGTCTCGGAGTTATTGGTTGGAGTGGAGATTTTCTGGAACGCTGAATCCCACCACCGATTTGCTGCCTTTTACAACCTTTCTGGCCATGGTTGTTAAGCAAACCATGGCAGCTGTGAATTTAGTCACCCAGTTTGTTAAGTGAAGCTGGCTCGTCAAGAGGTCATAAAAGTGAGTCACATTTGCCGCCCTCATAAATACATGCCACCCGTCTGAATTTTGATCACCTGGCCCTGGGGGTGGGGGAATGCTGCAACGGTCATTAAGTGTGACAAACATTTGTGTCCCTTTTCTCCCTGCGGTGGCGATGCTGCAACCGTCGTAAATACGAACTCAGTTGCCAAGCCTCTGAATTGTGATCATGTGTCTACAGGGGTAAGTGTGAAAAACGGCCTTAAGTCCCTTTTTTCGGCACCGTTGTAACTTTGAACGGTCACTCAATGACCTCTTAAGTCGAGGACGACCTGTATATGAATTGGACTCTATTCTTCAGATAAACAATTACAGGTGGCCCTCGACTTACGACTGCAATTGTGTCCATCATTTCTGTTACTGGGCAAGACGGTTGTTAAGTTGAATTTTGCCCCGTTTTACGACTCTGATGCCCCAGCTGTTAACTGAATAACTGCAGTTATTCACTGCATGGACTTGGCTTGATAAGATAGCAATATCAATATCACTTAGACTTATATACTGTTTTATAGTGCTTTACAGCCCTCTCTAAGCGGTTTAAGATGATCTCAAAAGGGGATTGATTACATGACCTCTGCAACCGTCCTATACACGAATCAGTTGCCAAGCCTCCAAATTTTGATCACGTGACCACGGGAATCCTACAACGGTCTTAAGTGTGAAAAACTGGTCATAAGTCACTTTTTCCAGTGCCTCTGTAACTTCAAACCATCACTAAGTGAACTGCGGTAACTCAAGGACAAGCTGTACTTCCTTCCCCCACCCACCCCCTGTCATTTTGCTATGGAATAAAAATACAGTGATGAATGGAGAGGAATAATCTAAAGACCGGGACAGTTTTAAAACGCGTGAAGTAAAGAGCATCAGGTTGGAAAAAGAATGAGCGGGGATTCTATTCTTAACCACGAAAAAAGTATTCATATTAATGGGAAAAGAAGAGAAAACTGACAGCCGTTTGCCGAGGGCAGGACAACTCAAGTCCAAGCTGTGAGCTTTCTTCCTTTGTAGGCTTTTATTTTTAATGACTAGTGAATATTTTTAGTTTCACCTCTCTATAATGAGAGAGAAGTTTGAGTTTCTCTTTGTTGTTATGTGCTTGAAGTCAGTCTCGGGAATATTATGCTAATGCCATCAGATAACAAAAGCCTTATTATCCATAATGTAACAAACAACTGACTTCTGGCCTACGTGATTCAAATTGTCATACACACACACACACACACACATATACATATACATACATACATACATACATACATACATACATATATATATATATATATACATACATACATACATACATACACACACATACATATATAAAATCAACCTTTGGTCATGTCTGGACAGATGAACTCTTGTAAGTTATTAATGTGTTAGATTGCAGCACGCCTCATTTTTATATTGTACTATAAATGGAGGATCTAATTGGACAATTCACTTGTAATTACTTTTCTAGTTCTTTGGGAAGTTATTTTCCAATGTCACTGCCAACAAAATGCCTTATTTTATTTATACTTATTATTTCCCCCCAAAATACAACCAACCCAGAAGGTAAGTCCTGGCTTGATTTTTACACGTGCTCCCAATATAAGCCCTATCCCCCCCAAAATAAGCCCTAATTAAGATCCGCCCACTCCAGAGTGGACGGGTAAAAATTAAGCTAGGGTGGGGATGGTGGGGTGGAGCTGTCCTACTACTTACCTTTGGACAGGTGTAGCCAGGCCTCGCACACCCCGACACCTGCCTGGTCAGCCCATTTCTTCTGCAGCCGGCAAGGCTTTCCTGAAGGCCTCTGGAGCAGAAAACAAAGCTCTGGATCGATCCAGAGCTCCGTTATTGGCTGCAGAGGCCTTGAGCAAAGGCTTTCTGGCCGCAGAAGACGTTCCTCAAGGCCCCTGACAGCAAAAAGGAGGCCGAGGGCGACGCGCGCAAGTGAGGTTAGTCAGTGGATGACATCCCTGAAAATAAGACCTGGTGCCTATTTTGGGGGCAAAAAAGAAATATATGACAGGGTCTTATTTTTGGGGAAACATGGTAACTATTGTACTCTATGGTTACCCTTACTTGGCAACATACAAGTAGTCCTCAAGGTACGACCACAATTGAGCCCAACATTTCTATGGCTAAGCGATAGAGTTATGAGTTTTACGACCTTAGACAATTGTTAAGTGAATCAGTGCAGTTCTTAAGTTAGTCACCCGGTTGTTAAGTGAGTCTGGCTTCCCCATGGACTTTGCTTGTCAGAAGGTCGCAAAAGGGGATCACACGACCCCTCCCGGGACCCTGCGAACGTCACAAATACAGATAGTCCTCGACTTACGACAACTGAGCCCAAAATTTATGTTGCTAAATGGGACATTCGTTCAATGAATTTTGCTCTGTCAGCGTAAAAATCATCCAAACTCAAAACTTTACATTGAGGGATGTTGTAACTTTGA